TTCTAACTCCGGATGCTGAGGAGAGGAAGTATGACGACAATGAAATCACGTGTGCTGAGGCGCTGGGTTCTGGGGACCACAGATGGGGGTTCTGGGCTACGCACCAGGGTCTCACTGACCGCCGCCGCGAGCAGCACACACTTCCCTCGCGTATGCCAGAATGGGTTAGAGAAAACGGTCCTCCACCACGTGTTTTAAAAACACTCCCCAGCAAACCGCATCCAACGCTTTTCACTAACCCGGGTTTCGGCGACAGGACTGTCCTCCCAACAAGGACACCTGCCCGAGTCTCAGTGTCGTGTTCTGAATCTCGTTCTCGGGCCCGGACCAAGCCTACTTCTCACAAAGATCAGATGCTCGTCTCTTCTTGCTGTCACATCTCTTAAACAGGTGCTCTGCACCCCCTGAAGAACTGAGAATACAACCGTAAAGGCTTTCCTCTCCAGAAACAGAACAGTCAAAAGCATAAATTAGGTTAAGTGGCTTCATCTGCCTCAGGTCACAGCTTATAACCCAAGGTTCCGTTTTCCCCTCGAACAGGGTGTGCTTAGGTTGATACAATGAATCAGAGTCAGCTGATGGAAAAGTTAAAAATGTCCTTTACTGAAAGATATGTATCTTTACAAAGAGAAATAGCAAACAATCCGATCTAGGAGTTTAAATAAAAGGAGGTGACTTTAAAACTAACAATATATATAAAGCTGAAGTCACTGCCTTGGATAATTTATGCGCTCACCCAATATTCTATGTAGGACATTCATTCTTAAGGCAGAAAAATTGAATCTGACATGTAGTGACTTGGCTCTTACATCCAAGGGTCAAACTGGGGGGAGATGTGAGCAGACAGAGTCCTTGCTAACGAGGACTTATCTATCGGTGGTGACAATTTCCTTGTGGGAGGAGGTCACGTAAGAGACACACACTCGGGAGAACAGAAAAGGAGGAGTTTTAAGACACACAAACATCCTTCCACGAGAGGTCAATGAGACTAGGTTTTTCTACTCTGAGGTCAAACTACCCCCGGAACGAAGCAACAGAACTCCGACGCGCTCCGTCTGGTACACGAAGTGTCGGGATATCAAATCGTGAACTTTGTGGAGGGCGTTACTTCAGGCTCCAGTTTTCAAGGTCTAGTATAAAAGGCAGCCTGAATAGTTCAAAAGCAGTTGAATGTCAACTCCTGCTGCTACTCCTGCCCCGTCGGCGAAATCGTGTGCAGGGAGGTCAGTCCGTATTAAAATATCGATGAAGCCCCCAACACGTGTGCAAAAATACCCCTCGGTTCCTAGCAAGACTATCTCGAACAAAAACCATCCTAATGGCAGAATCAGAGGCGTCATGGGACGGGCCGGCCCGCCTGGGGGGACAGGTGTCAGGGGTGCAGGCCCCCGCCCGGCAGAGCCTTTCCCGCAGACCCGGGCCCCGAGCCCTCGGGCTGCGGGAGCTCCTTGGCCTCGGCGTCCCGGTGCCCGAACGCGAACAGAACCACACGCGAACCTAAACGACCCTTCTGGAGCAGGTAGTGGTGGCCAGAGCCCCTCAAGCGCCCTTCGCGTGCCGACTGCGGACGCCGTAGCTCTGGAAATTGTCGCAAGTGGAGGAAGGTGATCCACCGAAGTTCCCGAGACGTGAAGGCTGTCTTCTTTCACGGTGGCAGGAGTCCATGCAAGGTTTGTAAACAGCGATACAAAATACTGTAAACATAACTTAACAGAGCTTGTAGAAAACAGAAGTAAACCCCAATTTACAAGTGGGTAAGAAAAACCGAGGGCGGCTTCGTACAAAGTTCTCCCTCCTGCGCCAAGTGATTCTTTTGATTACAAATATAATCCTGAGCTGAAAAACTGGGATTTGGGGGAGAGCCATCTTTGCATACAAAATACCCAAAGGACGCTTCTTACTCTCTTACTTTTCTCTGGGGACAGTCACCGGTCGGAGACAGTTCTGAGGGTGAGACTTGGGAGACCTTTTATAGTTTGGTGTGGCGCCCGGGTCTGGAGCCCGCCGAGGGGCCGGCCACGGAGGCGGCCGCGGCCGCATCCTCGGCCTCCTCCAGTTCCTCCTGCAGCTCCTGGCTGACGCTGGACTGCAGGGCCGCGGGGGTGAGCCACTCCTTGGGGAGGCAGCTCTGGAGGAAGGGGATGCAGGAGCTGAAGTAGGCCAGACGATTGATCCAGCGAGGAATCTCCTTCCCGCAAAGAATCTACGGAGGAGAGAGGGGGCGGTGTCAGGCGAGCAAGGTGAGGGTCCCCGGTCCGGTGCCGGGGGACGGGCAGGCGGGGTGTGGGCTGAGGGTCCCCGGTCCGGTGCCGGGGGACGGGCAGGCGGGGTGCGGGGAAGCACACAGGCCGGGATGACAGGCAGCCGCCACCTCCGGAGGCTTGTCAAGTGGCTCACATTCTACACCTACAGCATCAAGCTAATTCTGTTTGCCTCCCTGCAACTGCTTTGAGACTCCATGTCAAGTGCTCCAAACAACACAGCAGGGAAGCCTTGCTGACACAGGGACCAGAGTAACACGCTCCAGACGGTCAGAGCGGCCGGTCTTGGGTATCCTCCCCGCATCAGTTGTCCCCTTTCACAGATTCTTTCCTACTTCCGTCCAGTCTCCGCCACCCCATTTGTCCGGGCCCGCGTTCTACCCTGTTAGTTCTCGTGTTGGTCGAGAAAGAAACGTCTCCACGGATGCAGACCTGGCTTTGCGACTCTGCGGTCAGAACCAGGCTGGAAGGCCAGGCTGAGCTTTCGTCCGCAGATTCCGCTAGGGGTGTGGGGGTGCAGGCATGGGGCCGGGGGGATTCCCTCCCAGCTGACGGTCTGCGGCGGCTCTCTGCCCACTCCCCATCCCTACCCTGTCCTTAGAGGACTCTGGGCCATAACCCACACCCTCGCCAATCTCAAACAGTAAGAATCCGGTCTTCCACAACTAACTTCACTTTTTTGTTTTTTAAAGTTTATTTATTTTTGAGAGAGAGAGAGAGAG